GGTGAAGGACATCACAGCTGAGATGGATCCCATTTCCATCCAAAATCCACATCTGTGCACCTTTTCCAGCACTGAATACTGATAAGGAGATTGATTGGTTGATTTGTTTCCCCTCCCTGGCCCACAAACACACAGGCCAAGTGTAACTATAAGATAGATGATTTTAATGAAAGACTTTCAACTGATCTGTGAATCTGAAACAAGATAATAGAAATTGATGATCACCTGAAGAAAAAGGATTGAGGTTAGAAGAATTTGATTGTACTCACTGAGGGATGTTAGAATATGGAAAGTCTCAACAACTTATTTTGTGTCTGCTGAAGGCAGATCCTTCAGCATGTAAAAGGCAATCATAAATAAGAGGAAAATATTAACAAGCTTGTACAACACGGGTCAAACAGCCTCCCCCGTGCTATAATTCTAGAGGCAGTAAACCAAAATCAATCCTGAAAACTATATGAACAATATTGGGAGTCCAATATTTGCGAACCTTCAGCTAAAAAAAGCGTTCATAATAATGTATACTCCAACCTTGGACAATGCAATTTATAAGCCAAAAGAGAGTGGTTACACACTGCCTTGTCACAAGAGAATGAAAGGTAAAGCAGTTGTTCTAAACCCATGCTTGTTATTTGTGATAGGCACCTGCGACAATAACAAATCCATGTGCAAAACTCATTCGATTTCCCTGTTGTGGAAAGAGGGAGCTTCTGCTGTCCAAGCAGCACGCTGGGAAATATGCAGGGAATTGGATTGAAGTGATAAGGAAGCGTGGCCGGGGGGATGGCATAGGAAGAGGAGATAAAATAATCAGGAGAGCAAAAGAACAGGTTGTTATCCTTATGCAGCGCAAGAAGCAGAGATTGTAAGAAGCAAGCGAGGTACTCATACGCATTTAATAATAACAGAAAGGCTGTGTCAATTCAGGAAATATTTGACTCTGTAGATCTGGGAAATGAATGACATTGGGAATGTCATGGTTCTTCAAAGGAAGCACGTGAACTGATCAGCTTGTACAGCACCGATTAATAAATTACACTTTCATGATTTTCCACAAAGCTTTTTTGGAGCATTCCACTCTTCCGTTAAAAACAGACTCAAATCACTCCCAAACTGTAAGGCATGGTCTGAAGCCTTAAAGACTTGGTCTTAAAAGATTCTGCATAATTTTAGAAAATTCATCAACTTAGTTTTAGTTTGGACACAGTTTATTTTCAATAACTGTGGAAAACCATCTTCCAAATTCAGAGTGAATTAAAGATTGTCCCGATAGTCTGCACAGCTAAAGTGTACCCATTTATAAAGTGCCGACTGATTAACTCAAGTAAAAGAAGCTCACTCTGGCTACTTCAGGACTCTCCACTGAAAGGATCAAATGTGCCTTCCGTTTTTCCTTTGTTAATAACCAAAGGCAATTGATTCCCCGACTGTGTATAGTTTGAGATTACAGACCAGTATTACTAAAGGTACAATAAACATTTAGTTTACTACTTTATATACACACAGTTAGTTTAGAAATGATGTTTCACAACTTCCCAACAAGGATACAGTCATAGCACTGGCCACAAATAGATTGGGATCAGTGCAGTGCAGAATAAATCTTTATGGATCAGAGTTTAAAATGTTATACTCCAGATTCCCCTCTATGGAAATAGTGGCAGTAAACCATTTCAATACATATGGAACTCTGCAGTGCAGTGCAAAAATAATCTCAGAGGACTGAAGTACATTTTGTTACAAAGCTCTTGTGGCTTAAAGAACTACTCTTGCGTACCTACAGCCCTCCCTACACTGGCTCCATATTTTTAGTGACAGAGCCCTGCAGTACAGAAGACATCTCTATGAAGCCAGAGAATTTGTAGGAAATCACCCCAGGCTGCCAAGCACAGCAATGTGAAAAGTGTGGAATTCAAAAGTATACTCACCTGTAAAACAGGGTAAGGATATTCCATGCAGTACACACTGAACATGCTTACAGTAGGTGTAGGACACTTGAATTAAGCAGAGTTAGGGCACTGTGACCAGGACGAGAGCGTGAATTGGTCTATCCGTCATTTGGGAACAGCTGTTTTGAGGATTTGCGATGCGATGCGCACAGTGCAGGCCCTTCAGCTATGTGAGGAGGGGAGGCTCTCTGCCCGGTAGCATGTTTTCAGCTGTCGCAGTCAAACTTCTGTGGATTAACCCTCACATCCTGGCCCTGAAAACCGAGTCTGTTCACAGGGAAGGCATGTGCTCTTCCCCCACCCAGAAGCATTTTGTTAAACAATGCGCCTGCACTGTAATGGATGCAAACAGGTGCATTCCCCGCTCAGGCTCAAACAGGCGTCATTTGTTTTATGTGCCTTAAAAGTTGCAGCACTGGTTTCCAACGGAACATTCTGGTCAATTTTAATAAATTAAGCTAGATATTTTTTGATATAACCACTTTAAAAAAACTAACCTGCTTCCAGTTGCTGCATAATCACGAGTGGAAACAGTCCCCATTCACAATGTAAAATTCATGATCGTTGGCTGTATTTGAACTAATAAATATTATATACAAATTACGCTCACAAATTGCAGTCAATCCACTTTACAGTGCAATCTGTGAAGCGCTTTCAGACATCTCAACGATACGATAATGCGCTATATCAAACACGAGCATTATTATTACTACATTAATCCTTCTGTTGGAAGTCTTTACAATAGTGGACGGTACATTGTACAATTTAACTAATATTGGAAGATTTCAAGATCTACAGCTAACTACAGTATATTAAGGAACTGAATTTTCTGGGGAATCCCAACTGTAACCCATCTATTCTCTCATATCCCTTTGTAATATTTCAAAAATATATGTGACACATACTGGACATCGTTACCTCCACAAAGCCAGCTGAGGCGGCCACCCAAATCTGCAGGTCACATTCACACTGCACGAGAGGATTGTAAACCTGGCACACACCAGCCCTACACGCTCAGTAATCCACAGATACTTTCTCTAGTTCCTACGCCACTTTGTCTTCTGCATCCACGCACAGTTTTGGAGTTCCTCGCAAAGTCCTGCCATACTGAAGGTAATTCTTCAGTTCAATCAGAAAGTGGCCTCTTGCATATCACTAACGCACTGTCACTTTGAGAATTTCATTCACAAACCCGTATTAAAGGTTCTAGATGCTTTTCAATTAGCTGCCGGGTGGGACTGTAGATTTGGACCTCCAAACCACCCAATGCTCTCAGTACTGCAATGTTTAAACTGTTGACGTGCAGTGATCTTTTCCATTTGACAATCAATCTAAGGAAATTGTTGCACTTTTAAACCACCCGATTACATCAAAGTCACAAAGCACTTCACAAACACGTGTTAGTTAAGTTGAGCACTCCGGGACGTTACCCCTTGCGAAGGGCGCTATATAAATTTAAGTTGTTGACGTAACTTTCTAAAGGCAAACATGGCATTCAGTCATTTTGCTTTTTTAGAGAAAGGTTTCCCAAACAGCCACGGGGAGAATGACCAATTTGTCTGGAGGGATTTTTGACCAGAACAATGGGAGTGAATCCCCCCCTCCTTTCAAATAGTCTCAAATAGCTAACTCAAAGGAATTCGCTGGGAAAAGGTAAGATTTTCTCATTTCAAATACTCTTTGCTAAACACGAAAAGGGGTTGAAGCGCCAACTACTCTTAAATAGTGCAAAAAGTAACGTGGTCAGGCCACTTAAAGCGCCAGAAAAAGAACGAAGAAGCTATTTTTAGTAATAATCCTATGCCATGCATCTGACACAGCACGGGTGCAATTTTGTGCACAGTCCAATAACTGCTCCAGATAGAGAGGGAGGCCACTGACGCAGAAGCATGATGATGTTAGACGCAAATTTCCCATAGGAGCTGCCTTTTTATTTTCATCAACTTTTTAAAATAAATAGCACAATTTTGCAAGATGCCTGACGTACTGAAGTGACATTCCTGGTGTATGATGGATGGCCTCCCTGCTGTCCGGGCTGGCAATGTGACATGCATTGAATAAAGGCAAACAGCCTCAAATTGTTATTGGGAGTTTGTTTCAGAGCAGCTGGAGTGAGGCACATGCCACAGTCAATCTCCTGAGTTTGAAGTCCCATCAGGGTGAGCACTGCTACAATTAGCCACGTCAGATGGAGATCTGAGCCGTCTGCAGTCACTCTCCATGCAGGCCACGAGGCGTGTGGTGTGACCAGAGAAGCTCCATGGAACTGGAAATGTATTGCACAAGAGTGCTATTAAATGTTCAGTGACATTACAACTTCAGTTGTATCGGCGCAGCCAGGGGATAAACATATTTGCCACTATTATATTTTTCCCCATTGAAAAATACCAAGTCAATGCCCTCGAAGATTCCACCTCTTGCTGATGTATGGCTTTGCTGGCATCAACCACTCCTGGGTATTTCACCCCAAGTGCTCACTAAAGTCAGGAGCCTCTGTAACATGGGCATGAAATAGAGGCGGTGAGCTTCACACAATATCTTCACTCTCCATGGAATAGCACTTGCCTCCACTGGCTCAGTTGGTACCACTCACCTCAGAGATTCTCTCCCTCCCCCACAGAAACACACTGCGACCATCACTTAGAGCTTCCCACTGCTCAGATTGAATCCACAGGCAAAATATTGAGTTCTATCACTGAGCAACAACATGTCACTCTAATCCAGAATTTCAGCGCATAAAACACATCAAATGCTGTCAATTCCTGCAATGGTTGGATGCAAATCATTTGTGCCAGTACTCCAGGGTTAACAGCATTCTGTCGAGATGAAGACTCGCAACCTTGTTAGAATTCTGATGCTTTGCAGAGATGGAAAAATCCAACAGGCAGCAATTTATGTGGAAATGATGTACAACATCTCTGCACAGTTACAATATATTTAAGAAGAGTCATTGGACAGCTCTTCATTTGTGTACAAAATCAAAAACAGAGTGTCTTCAATCTTTTCTCCTGGCGTGACAGACGTTAACTTGCCCGGCAGGTTGGCAGCGCGCCAGGGATTTTCCACTTCTCCGCTAACAGATGAGCCACTATCAGTCCTCTTCACAACAGCCGTCTGCACGCTTCCAACTGTAATCCAGTGCTTCTGATTTAATACTGTAATTACTTCTAACGTTGTGTGGAGGAGATAAACGGCCAGGACTTGCTCGCCCAGAACAGAGAGATGGCACAAACAGCAATCCTGTTAACCACTGGATGGCCACTGTTCTACTCTCAAGCACCTGACTGTTTACAGCAAAATTGAACCTTCTCCGAAAACTAAGGATGGCTATGAAATGAAAAACATTCTTCAAACAAAGGTGAAAATGATTTAAAATGGTACTATTAAATGAGTAGCCAAGTTGCCAATGTCTACAATGAAAGGAATTGAAATGCATGTGAGCACACAAACCTGCAGGTCTCATTCATACTGCACTCGAGGATCCTAAAGCGGGGGCCTCCTCCACCAATCGCTGATACACAAGCATTGCTCAACTAAGATGGTCTATGACACAGCGATACCAATGCTGCTCTATGATCTTGCTTATGGGTGAGAAGACAGCAGCTTATTTGCTTGGAACCGATGACTGTGCATTTTCCTCACTTCTCTTCTGAGGGTAACAAACTGCGGAGCGGTATAGCTCCATGGCTCCTTGTAATTCGCTCAAATGGTCTTTCAACACATAAACAGAAAGTGGTGCTGGCTATTCGACCATGATGGGTAGCATGGTTATGACAAAGTCTGTTCTAAATTCAACATCCACGTGTGAGTCACTGGATATCAACCAGGAGCAGAAAACAAAGGTTTATTGATCTGCCTGGAGCTAACTGTAGGGCCCCTCCTGTCACCCAGTAAAACCAACAAACGTAGATTAAACAAGGGGTCAAAATTGAGACTTCCCTGGTTTACAAAGCGTTTTCTTAAAATAGCTCATAAAATGACAGCACTAGCATAAAAGAATTAGGCCAAGTCTTCCGATCTGGTGTAGGTGTGTTGTGTGGTACTTTAATACAGTCCCTTTTGTTGAGCATGATTTATCATAACCTTTGCTAATCAAACTTCACAAGTGACCTGCCTTCACCATTGCGTAAGTGCCTCGGTTCAACACCTCTCTCTCACACTGCCCTGAGCAGAGTCCAAAGAACATCACTTACTCATCATACAATGAAGACTGGCTGCAAGCTGGGAATCTCACTCATACAGATGTATAATTTGAAGCATTATTGTCTATGTCTAGGTTTGCTGCCCCTTTATCCACAAACCTAGACATTGCAGCCACTTGAATAGACCGTAAATAGAAAACCCTAATTTGGACTAAAAGTTGCTGCTAGTTATTGCTCAATAAATGCTCATTTCTCACAATACAATCATCAAGCAGCAAAAGGTACTTAGTTTGTTTGACAGCTCAGCGATTCAGTCCATGCACATGTGCTTGCAGCAGGGCGATGGATTATTAAATCGATGAAGCTATCTTGTGAGCTACAACAAACTGAATTCCAGTGTAAGATTTACTGTAGTCAGCCTCCTGCTTGCTAAACCTATCCTTTCAATGTTTACTACTGTAGTTAGTTTCACACTAAACACATCACTTTGGAGCCAGTTTTCTAAAATATAGTATGGCAACATTATATACATAAAAGGGACTGCTTACTGAGGGTAGGGTTGTGTTCATATCTGAAAGGCTTCCCACAGAAGCGCTAAATCTTTAACTTGTATACTCCTGCAAAGGCAGAGACCGCCTGAAGTTTTATCCATGTGCAGCACGATGTTCACACAAATACCTGGAGCTGAAATCTTAAATCTCCAACCTTATTAGGAATCCTGTAGCATATTGGTTAGAGGACTTGCCTCGTGAGAGTACGTGGGTTCCATTCCCAGGTAGGGTCAAGCCTTAGGCAAGTTCCTTATTCCACACGCCTCTACACATTTACCTAGCAGTAAGTAGGAACCCGGCTGCTAGTCCGATTGGTGGATCGCTTTTCCGAGGGGTAATAATCCCTTCAAAAAAGTACATAAAAATAATTTGGTCAATCAACTGTTTGTGGGACACTGCTTGGCACAATTGGCTGCCACATTTTACCCACAAAATATACAATTAATTCACTTTACAGTATATTCTGTGAAGCATTTTGCGACGTCTCGTAGATGAGATAAGGCGCTAGATCAAATGCAAGTATTAGTATTATTAGTGCACACGTCTCAAACCTGTGCTGATAATCCTCCTCTCTATATTAAAAACAATCCACTAGCCTGAGGAAAACGTACACCGAAGTTACCACACATTACAGCTGCTTCAGCAACAGATGAATTGACAGATGAGAAAGTAGAGTGACTGACGAGAGACAGATGACCGCTCTTTCATATTAAATGCTTTTGACAAATCTTAGAGAACAAGACGTTCAAAAATAAAGATATGAAAGCGGCAAATTTAAAATAAAGAAGTATTTTAACATTAAGAAGGTGATGACTGGGAGATTGCTTGAACTAGTATGTTGTGCTACAGATAATGATGTGGGTCGCATGTCACATATCAGTTCGGCGGTTCACACACAGTGCCCTCAGAGCAAAGAAAGTCGATGTAACAGCAGCAATGTACTACAGTAGCCACAGGATCATGGTGTAGTTTTCTCACAGAATGAATAATCCATTTAATCTAAAAGATTTCACAAAGTCCAGATAAGCCTCAATTAAAAGAAACCTCATATGAATAGCTTGTGCGTCGCAGAGATATAATTAGGCCAACTCCTGTCCACTCCCTTACTGAGTATGGAATCCACAGTGACACCACATTACATTAAGACTCATTGTGGCCCTGCCAATAATGTAACACCCTTAACATCATGGTTAACACTTAGGTCAAGCTCCACCAGACAAAAAAATAACTTCTTGAGAACGATCAAACAGAATCCACTCACCAAATACTCTTTGAAGCTTAACCTGAAATACACAATTTATACACTCATGAGCAAGACCGAGATTACCGAGTTAAACTGGTCATTCCATAGTCAATCCATCCTGAAGCCTCCACTTACCGCACCCAGCGGCATGGGTTATACTGAGATAATGCATTAATCAACCACAGCCATTAGTTGCTCTGTACATTTACCCAGGACATGCATCAGTGTTTAGTTAGTCTTATTATTTAGCACTTTTATTCCTACAAGTGAGACTGAGCAGATAACTTGAGTGATTTAATCTCGTCATATTATATGTCACCCTTGCCAAGCTGACAGGTGATACTTCACAACCGGCCATGAGGTTCTATTTATACCGCACATCTAGTCATTTTGTTTGCAGATTTCACTTTAATCTTTAAGACTGGTGCCAGGCAACTCGTCTCATCTCGCGCTGGAAACGTCTCCTAAACGGGATGAAATAGTAAATTCATGGCTTACCAGGGAGTGAGGGTACTATAACTCATTATGGCTTACAATACTGTATACAAAATGCATGTTGAAAGACGTCCATTGCTTCACAGAAACAAAACCACATTTGACATTTCAATTCCTTGCAGCAAAAGGGAGCATCACAGTGCGCAAATTTAAAGAAACTTAAAGTATCCACACATCTATTGTTCAGGATCGAAGCAGTGAGAAGGGTTGAGGGAAGGAAAACAGAAGAGCAATGGAGGATCTAGGGGAATGTTTACCAAGTCCCTGAATTATGATTTCTGCGTGGAAATGTACATTTTTTTTTGAAAAATGTTTCCCAAGATTGAAAGCTTAAAGAAACTGCCCTTTGCAGGTTTATGCTGGGAATTTAAAAAAAGCCTCTATAGGTGTAAGTATCAGGACCACGGTCCCAACTCAAGATCATGTCAATGCTCTTGCAGCAGAAGTGCCAAGTTCAGGATAGAGGGACAAGGAGAGAAAATCAAAAACTGAAAAAGTAACTTTGTGACTTTGTGTATCCTAAGACTATTTATTTATATATGTACATTATATATGTAATTATTTCTTATAACAGAAGTAAATCAGTATTAGCCATTCAAAGATACATGAAGGAAACCTTAGTTTTAAGAGAAAATGAGAGACAATGGTATAATGTGTTGTCTTCCCCACCAAAAAAGAGGAAAATTGAAAAAAAAGCTATATTTGTGACTCTATGAAAAACATTAAAATTTGCCAGCAATGAAAATGAAGAGAATAAGAATGCAACGAGATTCGGACTTGATCACTAAACACTTTCTTTGGTCGACAGTACCTACTTTTGCCTAGTCTCGCATCTATATTCTCTCTCATCATTTTGGCAACCACCAATCAAGAGAAACTAGCCCAGTCAAAAATAAAGGCCACTGACATCATGAGAAGCCTCCTTTCATTTTGTAAACAAAGCTAGGGTTGGGAAACAGATGTCACGCCAAAGCAAGTTCTGTGGGTTTTTGGACTGGCCCAACCCAAGACACAGACAATTACGGAATGTGTAGCTCAGCTTTACTGTCTGCAGAGCTGCTGATATTGTTATTTTGCAGCCAGTTATGAAAAATTATATAGAATGACCAATCTGGCGAGTGTTCAGCCACAAGCCTCAGCAGGAGTTGAGTTTGCTTCTCATGCTTCCCCTCCCATACTATTTGCTTTCTGCCCTCTCTTGAAATCAATAACTGTCCTTGACTATAAGATGTAGGAGCAAGAGGAGGCCATTCGGCCCCTTGAGTCTGCCCCGCCATTTAATAAGATCATGGCTGATCTTCTAACCTAATTCCATTTACCCACCCTATCCCCATATCCCTTAATTCCTCTATCCTTTAGAAATCTGTCAACCTCAGTCTTGAATAATTTCGAGGACTGAGTATCCACAGCCTTCTGGGGTAGAGAATTCCACAAATTCACTAGGCTCCGAGTGAAGAAATGTTTCCTCAACTCAGTTCAAAAAGGCTGTCCCTTAAGCTTGAGACTATGACCCCCAGTTTTAGATTCTCCAACCAGGGGAAACAATCTCACAGCATCTACCCTGTCAAGAACCCTAAGAATCTTATAGGTTTCTAGAAGATCACCTCTAATTCTTCTATATTCTAGAGAATTATAGGCCTAGTTTACTCAACTTATCCTCATAGGTCAACCCCCTCATCCCAGGAACCAACCTAGTGAATTTACACTGCACCCCCTCTAAGGCAAGCATGTCTTTTCTTAAATAAGGAAACCAAAACTGCACACAATATTCTCAAGATTGAGGGTCAGCCTTTTCGTCCTCTCCTGAGTCAATGCCTCATCCCAAAGCAAGGACATACACAGGTCAGCCACCCTTAGGTACCAATTGACCATTTTTCATGTGTAATGCGAGACGGAATATTGACACAATTGCAATAGGCCACATAGGTTTCTATTCTAACTTACACTCTACAGCTATACATTTTACAGCGGGCGTCACACTAGTGGGTTAAGCAGAACTTACTTTTTCTGCCTCCAGAACACCAAGGCTGACTGTAGCAAACCCACACTAACACTACATAATAGGAATGGAACCTGTCATTGATTCAGTCTGGGTGTTCACAAGACAAGTGGCTTTACCAACTGAACAATCAAGGAGTCCTATCCATTCACTGAAACTTTCAATACCTAGCTAAAAAATTACCTTCAGTGCACAGACTGAACAAAAGTATTGACTGTATTAAATATTGGAATAAAGAAAAGATTGAAATGCAATAACTTAAAAGTAAAACCATGTCTCAAGGCCTCAACAGTGTGTGCCAAAATGAAGTGTCTGTATCGCAATTCTCTACTGATTCAGAGAATCTACAACAGCAACAAAATGACATTTGTAAAGTGCCTTTCACATTGGGAGGACATCCCAAGGCGCTGGACAGACAGAGGTACGGATCCAAGCTGGGGGTCGGGGTCAGGGTGGGGGAGGATGGAGAGCAGGGGGAGAAGTAGTGAGATTGAAAGCACGGTCGAAGAGGAGGGTCTTGAGATAGGTCTTGAAGGTGGCAAGGGAGAGGGCGAGGCGGAGGGACTGCAGAATGGAGTTCCAGAGGGTGGGGCAGAGTGGCAGAAGATCCGCCCAATAGGGGAGCGAGCGCGGCAGGGGACATGAAGCAGGTCGGAGCCCGCTGAGCGGAGGGAGCGAGCAGGATGGTAGGGGGGTTAGGCGGTCGGAGATAGAGGGGAGCAAGACCGAGTTGTTGTTGTTGCAGGGCTTTGAAGCTGAAGACCAGGATCTTGAACTGTATCCTTTGTGTGATGGAAGCCAGTGGAGTTGGGCAAGGATGGGGGTGATAGGGTCACGGAAGTGCGGGAGGGACACGGGCTGCAGAGTTCTGGATGATCTGCAGCCGGTGGAGGGAGGAGTTGGGGAGGCTGACAAGCAATGAGTTTGCACAGTTGAGCCTCGATGCAATGAAAGCATGTATGGGGTCTCGGTGGCCCGCGGTGTGAGACAGTGGTGGAGCCGGGCGATGTTGCGGAGGCGGGTGAAGGCAGAGGGGTCATGGCACAGATGTGGGGTAGAAAGTATAGTTGAGGGTCAAACAAGACCCCAATCTAACATTGAGGAATACTTTCATCAATGATATTTAAGGTACCCACATACATAACTAGATTGTCTGTAGAAAAGAAACTCACTGAAGCTGGGGTATTTATCATAAACCACTTAAACTTCATAACCATGCAGGTTAAAACTTACCCACAGGTACATCATTCGCATGTTGAACCAATTCACTTCTGATCAAAGGCAAGCACAAAATCATCCAACTCGAGATGAAAGAACCTGTGCTGAAAGATCCACACTGAACTTCCTTCTAAAACACGGTTTTCCTTTTCACTCCGGCTTTTAAATGCAGCGTTCTCCCTTAGAGCTCCGACCAACCCCACCTGTGCTGCTGTGTGCAGCAGTTCAGCCTGAAGGCAATTCTGACGCTACACTCAAATGTGTTTTTTTAAAAAAGAAAAAAGCAACGATGGGTGTGGTTCAAAATCTCTATAAAGAAAAAAAATGCGTAGCACAATTAAAAAACATAAAATCCTTTTACTATCCATAACCGGAAAATTGTAATTGAAATATAAGCTATCTTCTCTGCAGATTCTATTAGTTTATTTTAGTTGTCTGAAAGGGTAGTGGTAGAAGATTTGTTAATAGCTTTGAAAAAAAAATTCTGATTCTATAACACGCGTCTAAGCGAGGACTGAATAGCAACACATCCAATACAAATAAATACATTTTGAAAAGCAAAACTTAGTCATAAGCCACACAGCTGTGAAGACTCCACAATGTCTGAATTATGCAGCAAATGTGAAAAAAAAATTAACTTGTTCCTAATATATTCACACTCTTCCACGATACTCAGTTCTATTTTTTGCACCATATCCATCATTTTCCAAATCGTATTCCATTTTTACCTCTTGGTCCGAATTTACACTTCAAGATCATATTCAGTTCAGAAAGGTGTAGAGTACTGGATACCAGCTGGTTAATGCAAAACACCACAAGTCCCACTCTTAGCCTGACGGTCAGAAAAGTGCAACTCTAGGAGAGAAAATACTAACTCCGCAGCAGCTCTCCTTAATCAACCTCCATTAACCCCTTCTTTACCATCTCCAGTTCATAATTTCCGAAAAGCAGTTGATCCGTTTGAAAAACAAGACGATGAATTCTATCGAAACAGAATTAAAAGCATTTGATGAACCGCACAGTAAAGTTTATATTTATTTATTCCAGTCTTGAACCTAAACATTAGTTCTATTTAAATAAATGAACTCTTGTGAGATCCCCTCTTGAAGCCACTGGTGCTTGTAAATGTCTGTAGAGGTACGTCACTTGGGCTACAAACAAAGGTTAAAAGAGTGATGTACCCCTTTCCTAAAGGCATGCAAAAGTGTTCATCGGCCCCAGGTGTCCTCCAGTGCATTAAACAAGTGACCATCTTTGTGTGCTCTTAGGGAGTGAATGTTACATCGGAACAGAGGAATGTAAAGAACGTCAAACCATCTGGACCAGGGAAAAATAAAAATACTCCAACTCTTCCCTAAATCTCTTCATTTGCCAAACACCTTTAGTTTAAGAATTCCACGGTCAGTTGGAAAGAGTTTGTGCACCAAACATGTGGCTGAGCTAAATTAACGAGTTGAAATTGACCTTATCCAAGCTAAAAAGAATAAAAACTGTGGCCTTCGGTAGTGATAGCAAGATGCCGATACCCTTGTACTAGCTTATTTCCTAGCTGTAATATATACAATGAAAAAAAATCAGTCAAACCTAAGTTAACTAAGATCTGAAATTTCTCATGCTCTTAGCTTCAAGATAATTATCTTAAAATGCAAGATCAAAGAGATCAGTAACATTTGGAAGCCAGTTGTCTGGAGTACTCCACAAACGAGCTTCCAAATTACAATTGAAGTCAAGACATTTCCAAAATTCTGCTTGATCTTAAATTTTCAGATGATGGCCGACACCGGGAGGAATTTCAAGCTTCTGGAGTCTCAGCAATGGTATTTTGGTCAGTAATCCTTTAGGTGTAAACCTGTATTGTTATAATTGTATATTTCATCACAACAATATTTGCCAAGAATCTCCACAGCAAGCATTCTGTGCAATTTAGTGATACCATGCAATTTAATCATTGACACTGAGAAAACATGGATCGTCTCGTCTGAATTTCCTGAGGTTAACAAGTCACCAGAGCCCTGGTCGTCAGGACAGCATCAGCCAGGAGCACCCCAATTGATCCCTTGCCCAAAGTTACATTAACGTGCTGGTCAGAACGCATCTGGAGATCCTGCCACTGACGCCTCCTCCACTTCTACTCGTTTCAGAACAGATTGCAGTACTTTTACCTCTTGCTGAAGTCAATTACATAGCAGATGGTTTGGAGTCTATTTTTAGAAAATGACCCATCCAGTAGCTCACTGCACTGAACACAATTAATGCAGCTCTAGTGCTCAATGATTTATGAGGGGTTTAATAGTATAACGTACACTAAAAGGTGAGTGTATGGCAGCGCTAACAGACCATTCGGTTCAATTCAGTACAGTAGCTAAAGTTATGTACCTACTCTTTGAACTGTCCCACCTTGAAGAGTTCTTACGCACAGGCTTCTATGGTTCTTCACACCCCAAGTGGTAAATTCACAATGTTTACTCGACATCAAAGCATCTCAACACAAAAGTGCTTATATAACAAACACAACAAAATGGCAGTTTTTCAAGGTTCAACACAACAGGAAGGCATACTGAAAACTACACAGAAAAACGGCATTAAAAATCATCCTGCATCCACACACAGGGAAATAACATACATTAGATTTCTTGCCTGTTTATTTGCTGGCCTACTGCACCTCGGTGTGTGACAAAACAAATCAGTTAAGAAAAGCAGCCTTTGTTCCCCCAACATGTTTAGCCGGTGTTTTGTAGACTAAAGCATGTTTTAGAGGTTGGCAGCATAAACCATTAGCTTCAAGATACTTCACTGAAATAGGTCGGAGAGCCGAAGACAAGTCAGGGAGGGAGCGCTGTGTGTGGAAGCTCTGCTGTCTGAGCAGACAATTCAATGGACAAGGAAGGTTAAACAAACAGTGAATGATCTTTAATTAATCTCCACATACAAATAGCAGCATTACCAAAACAGTTCACAACACTGGAGAACTTTCATCTCCTGACTCCAGCATAACTCAAAGATAAAGCATAGAGCTTGCAGTCAGTCAATTTAAATAAGCCTTAAAAGTAACTTGTTCTTTCTCCGAGTCTCTAATGTATTCCCCCCTCCACACCCAGTAGTAAAGTGGGAGATGATATAAAGCTAACATCTTGCACCCTGCTGGTATTTACTTTACTTGCCCCTCTTGAACCTCAGGCAAAATCTGCCTCTTGTACAAAAACACTATTGTCGTGGCTTGTCAGATCCTCCCAAAGAATGTCGTCTGGGCAGGCTGCCGGGAGGCAAGCCAAGAATGGCACCAGCTTTGTTGGTGCTTGCTGATAATCATGAACCTGTTCCCCAACAGCTTCTTTCCCTTCTCCCTCCCGCCCCATAAAGAGAGCAAATTTGCCGTTCTAATATTCCGGTTGATGCAAATTAAGTAAAATTGGTGATTATTGATAGTTGCCGGTCATGTTTGCAATCTGACAAAAATATACTGTATTTTTATTGACAATAGATTTTTCCCCCTTAGAAATATGGCTTTTGAGGTTGAAAACATCGATAAATTTTTTTTATTCACTGACAATTTCATCCAAAGGAAAATTAGAAAATGTAAAAATAGATTGCCACCAACCCCACATATAAACTAGGTTGAAATCTTAAAAGCAAGAGAAATGGGTGCAGTGGCAGAAATGTTCGGCATCTACAATATTTGTACTACTGAAACTGCTGCAAAAAGGACCAGTATGCACAACACTGATGGTACTGTCAACACCACTCTTTTTCCAAGTTGTCTTTTGGACAATAGGCCATTAATCTGGGAAGATTTTGTGATGACCATCATCAGCGGCTCGAGGGACTTGTTCAGAAGTGTCCACAGCAACAGGTTCTTGGTCGGCAAACCACTGTTTGTAAGAGGATTGTCATTGCTCGGAATCCTCACTTGTAAAGGGTCCATGTCCATGTCTATTCATTGGGGTCTATATCTATTCATCTGAGTAATTGGCTGAGAGGCATTACTGAACCTAATGGTGTGAGGGAACTATATCATTAAATACTTAGCACTCCAGGATACGTCAGCAATATTATTTCAACTGCTAATTAGCTCCTTCACACTGTGGGGTGACATCAATGCGGAACTCTACCATTCTCCATATTCAAGATCCTGTGAATAGACACTTACTGTTACAGGGGCTGAGGAATGAAAGCAGGCAATTACTGTGAATATTACAAGGGGGGGGTTTGGGAGAAGTCGAGAAAATACGCACAAAAACACTCTGCCTTAAATACATTTTACAATCACAGCACTATCCATTGTTAAATTCAATAACTACTGGAAAATGGTGAATTTATATTCAAATCACTGTTCAATTACAAAGAAATTCCATCACTGCACAATTCACACATTTTTTTAAAACATGGCCAAGTTTCTAATTCCTGAAGATGGATTATAGTGGACTGAAGAGTACTGAAGGGAATTCAGATCACCTGGACTCCAAAGGACTGTTCCATATCCAAGAGAAATGTGATGAATTCACAAGAGGAAATATTCATATGACTGATAGGTTTAGTGAAATACAGCCACTCAGACCCCATCACTTCTTAAATAATCAGGTTTTACTTAGGAAATAGGTTAAAAATGCTTGAGTTTCGGTGAATCTAGTACAATCAATGCAAACATTTAGCTCCATAATATCTGGTGTTTAGATGTAATAACCTTAGTCAGACAATCCAGGCAGGCACCAAGCAGTTTTCCCCATTTTCCCCCTCCCGTAAGCCAGTTGCAAAGAGACACTCTGAAAGGCAAGGAAACAAGAGCACCTTTCTGCCTCCTCATCTGGGAATAAACACTCACTGCATCATCCACTTCTCTGTCAGCCCTTCCCCTTCAAAGCTAAATATAAACATAGGTTCCAGAGCTGAACAACAGCAAAATGAGAGGAGGCCGGGAACGAGGGGGAGAGAGATGGGGAAAAATAAACACTTTCTAAAAAGAAATTCCAATGTAAAAATAACTACAATGTACTATCACTGTAATAAGCAAAGCATTGAGGCTCCCTTTGTTAGAGAGAATCCTTCAACACGTGCCTAACACCATCAGGTTTTGCACCCCACCCAAAGGCCACGATTACAGATGCGGTCAATGTACATCTGAACTGGAGACAAAATGAGAGGAAGGAAAGCAGGAGAGAAAAGTGAAATAAGATTTAAAGGTGTTGGCAGAGAAAGGCAGAAGATTGAAAAAAATGTACATTGCTGGCCCAATATAAGAGTGGAACATTTGGAATTATTTAGTAGCTAATACTTCTTGGCTGGGAAATGATTAAATACAGGATATTACTGAATCTTTCAGATATGCATCAGAGCTGCATCTCTAATGTAGAAGACTTTTCAAACACCAAGATTTTTAAAAGCATTTACACGGAATATTCCAAACTCAATTTTCAGAAACTCTGAGGCACTGCACGTACAGATATTTTTCTTTTATGTTCCGACCCTCAGCAATCGGCCTCCATCTTTGTGTTCGTTACGTTTCAATGTGGTAGTGTTGTTGCTTCCTGTAGACTTGGACCCGTAAGATACAAATAGTTGTTGAGGTTAGCAGAGGGACATAACTAGTCAATGTACAGGCCAGTATCCTGCATAATCTATGAAAGGCAGTACTTTTTTAGTTCACATTTATAGGAATAATGCAGGGAATTTCTCGGCTTAAGCGGAAATGAGACACTACTTTTGTTAAAAGATTCGGCTGGGGGCAAAGATTTGCCGGAACCTTCAGAAACATCAGGCAAAGTTGATCAACTTCCTGTGTCTGGATCTCATTGACATGCACAATAAAATCCAACATTTCCCACTATTTCTAAGTCACTGCGGCCAAAAGTCTCAAATAAATATTATTCCATTAGTTGGACAACTTAGTGGAGATTTCACAGGAATACCAATTGGGACCAGTGAACCCTCACTATGATGTTGAATAACAAGATGTTCTTGTAGTTACTGAGAGTTACTTCAAAAAGGGTAACCAATTAAAATAAAACATCTGTTATTTGCAAAATGTAACCTGCAGCTCAGAATCCAGGGAGAATGTTTTGTCCTCGCAGCTTGTATTTTTATAGCAGCTTTACACATCAAAAAGCACTCCACAGAAGTACCTGACAAAGTGTAGTGACTGATTTTGTACCCATATTGATGAGTTTGTCTTGTGAGCACAAAGTGGTTTTGAAAATCATGATAAAGTCAAGGATTTCTCACATGGGGGAATAATCTGCTTTTCCACTGTGTCGTCGCCCCATTACCTTCGAAATGCAGCCGCGTACAAAATGCTCATCCACCACCTGATCCAACTGAAATGAGTGCACACAGCACTATGCTATAAACAGTCGTGGATTGAGTGACCCAATTTTTGTTTTGTGAAGGGATTATTACCCCAGAAATGTGATCTACTAATCGACTAAAACCGGGTTCCTACTTACTTCTAGGTAAACAGAGGCGTGTGAAGTAAGGAAAGTTGCTTCAATGCTTTGCCCTGCCCGAGAATCAAACCTGGGTCCTCTCACTTACGAGGATAGTGCTCTAACGACTGAGCTACAGGACTCCATAACAGAATAAAAACCCAGCTGACTGTTGAGGCATGAGAATTACCTAGTGCTCCATGCAGACATGCTTGCCTTTTTGTTGACCTACTTACTGCATGCTCCATTTCAAAACAAATCAAATCAACCCGAGGGCAAACTGTTTAAGGGATCTGGTCATATGTAAATTTCAAACTAGTGGAAAACTGTAGCTTATGAAAAACAAAATGTTTTCCTAGCCATTAATCTGGAATTCTTTTCCTCATACTACTGTATAACAGATCCTTGTGGTCCAGCAGGACATACCAGATGTATGTGGTGGTAAGTAAAGAATTTCTCCAGCTGATGGAAGTTCAATCCCAGAGCCCCTCTGCCTCACCCTCTCCCTTACCTCCTTCAAGCCCCATCTCAAGACCGTTCATGTTGACCATGCCTTTCACTGCTCATCACCTTGGAATGTCCTCCCAACATGAAAGATGCTAAATAAATGCAATTTGTTGTTGTTCTAGGTTTCCCTGAACAAATCCTAGCTGAGAGGCTAACCATTCCCAAACCTTAGCTTGTTATCATGCCGATCTAGGGTTATTTCTCAGGGGGAGGGAAGGGAAAGACCAGTCACCTTCTTCACCCTACATAAGAAACTTCTGTTCAACACAAGTCCACGACAGCATGACTTTGATCGGCCATTCATTGCAATGGGAACTCTCCTGTCAAAAGTTGCTCCACTTAATTGCATCGCTTGGTCTCTTACATTGGCACAAATTAACAAAAAAAATTAACTGATATTTGTTCCTGGGATTTAAGGTATTCTAGATAATAATCTTATGACAAACTACCATGATCTCTTCTCTCCAATATTGTATCACACATTTTTTAGGATAAGGTTATAGGTGGAGCATTAATATTTGAGCTCATTTGAGCTTAACCTCAATTACTTTGGACAAGATCAATGGGACCTTTTCTAGTCTTTTGTACATTCCTAATTAAAATTGTTCTGGGAATGGCATACATCAGTAACAAAGACAAACAAAGACAAGCATGGTGTAGCTCTGTTTTCCCAGAGGCTTCACCTTCTCTATACGCTCCGGCAAGACCAATTTCAAAAACAAGCAGATGTTTGGAGGTGCAGACAAACAGCATATTGAGATATAAAATATTAAAACTAACGTATTTTCATAAAAACAAAAACAATTCTGTTTGTTTTGCACTGCACTTAGTTTATGAACTACTTGAGAAAATGGGTCTCAACTTGCCCTAGGCCACCATTGCCTGGAATGTTTAAACTTTCAAGTGACCTAGGTTATGGAAAAAATAGTGGTTGAGTTGGGAAGGGCAGATGCTCGATCAACTAAAATAGCAAAGTCAAGTGATATACAACTTGTCATGTGAACCCCATGGTTAGATTACAGCCTAGAAATCAGTCTCTGGATTCCTTTTAATTTATTACGGTGTCCTGTCACACCAGTCTGGCTAAAAGAATGCAGTGTCAAACCTATGCAATATCTGGTCAATTTTACGTTGGGGAGTAATTTGCTTTCTCGTCATTCTCTGCGCCTGCAGCTGCTGCCAATTGCCAACTGCTCGTGCTTTTCGCAGCCTTGATCCTCAATGACATTCATGAGCTGATTAACAACTGGGTCGTCATTACAGCAGCTTTATCGAGAAATAATCTGCAGTCAATTACCAGGGAATTGTCCGGTGTAGGATTGATGAACTTAAGAGATGAAGTGCAAATGCTATTATTCCGACAACCTAGTCACCGTATACAGATGTTGTAATTAGAATTAATGAATGAAACTGCTGCTCATGTATACACAACAACTTTGACGAGTAATATTTTTGGATCAGGATTTCTGTGGATTACTCAAAGGAAACGGCCAATTAGTACAAGAGTACATGCCTCGCTCTCCCCATTCAAAAATCAGGCTTGATCCAACCAGATAAAACAGATGGCTTAAAACTGTGTAAGTGAAAGAGTACTGGGCAACAATCATCAGTATCTTGAGCAATGAGCACACAGATTTTAAGTCAGCACATTTGAATTCCAAACCGTTCAGAATGATTTAGTCTAACCTCCCTTTATGTCGCAGGTCTCAATATAACTTCAAGTCACACTGTCATGTTGGAGATATTTTTAGCATGTCAAAAGTCATGTCACAACCTGCAACTTGATTTGACTTTGCCATGTAGGTTATTTAAATTTAGTCTTACCTAATACTTCACTCCAAATCTATATGCCATACAGCACTAATACTGCTATAGTTCCAGGGATTCAAGGTAAGACTGCTGAGTGACACCAGAATGGCATCACGTTTACGCTGCACAGATGCAAATGGCACCGAAAATCTATCACACATAGCTCATTCTTCTATAGAATACCTCACGATGGGAATGCCAATGTACTCCTATCTGACCTAGAACAATGGCAACCAGGTTATGACGGACTGCAAAACCTTAAAGTACTCCACTGCCTCTATTAATACAATGACTTTAGTACTATCAGACACATTAACTAATTCCACATATTTGCATGAAATTATTCAAATCAGAGTTAGGACCATGAGACTGAGTTTCAGCACGACCTTGGGACGTCAGGTTTGTCCGTCAGCCACAATACATGTTAGATAACATGGTGCAGATATATCGGCTAGTAGACCTCCGAAGACTGTCTAAGAGCTACTGAACTACAGAAATAATCAAGGTTGACGACCACGCACAAAAGGAAGAAGTGAATACAAGTATTCTTTATAAATCCAAATCCCTGAAAACAGATCCACACTGCAGTACTTGGAAAATCCACATATTGATTGAACAAAATTCCATTCATCTGATCGTTCATTTGTCCATTACAGTCTGCGAATCCAATTATCTGTAAATCTAGCTAACTGATTGCATTTCCAGATTCTCAGGTACAATTTCCAGAGTAAAGGATGCCTCTCTCCTCCCACCCCCAAAGCCAAATAGACTCAATTACCAGATGGTGAAGGACATTTGATACAGCTAGTCTTAATACATCTGAAAAAAANTGAACGCCTTCACTATTTAAACACACTAATTTAACAGAATATTCCATTATAAAATTTGCCAGGGTGCTGTTATTAATATAAATAGTGTGGAAGACATTTTTGGAAGACATTCAGTTTGTAAGATGTGACAAGATCATGAGACTTATTTTATCCAATGCCATAATCATATTGGCTTCATCTTTCACTTTTGCTCACAACCAGCCATTTATAAAGTCGTCAACTCTGGAGACAGTCTGAACACCAGAAGAGGATCATTACCAAAGTAGCAATCACACAGTGGTGGCAGTGACATTCACACGCCAGGAAAGGGAATAGCAGAGTTAAGAAAAAATTTCATTCAAGATATATTGCAGGCATTCTTTGGCTTAAAACTTACCGCAACCTTATTAATTCCAACCCCCCAACCATGTTGCATAGCTGATGAATCAGACTGGACTGCCCAGAAGGATGCAGGATATTTTCAGTATCTGGCTGATGCTGAACACAACCCAACTCCTCATCTATATACACACACTGAAGTGCTCTGAAAATTAGAATTCTAAAGCCATCAACAATGCCGACATGTAGGAAGGGCACCCATTGGGGAAAGAAAATAATATTGCAAGTTTAGCTTCAAATAAACTCATCAACTCTTCGCACAAATAACCTAGAGTGCTAGGATTTAGAGCACCTCCTGCATTCAGTCTGAATAAATACTAAATGAAATATCAAGGCTTTTTTTTAAAAAAGAAAACATTCTGAAGTAATTACTGGGGTTTGGTATGAATTCAAATCTAACTGAATCAGACTTAAAAACTGACTGATATATAGTTTCCTCTTTGCCAGCTCTTAAGAAACACTTTGTGAAGTGCAACATATGCATATCGTATTAGAGTGGCTCCCACAGTGCATCCGCCTCGTCTGAAATGGGAGCCAAATGGCATTCCACATCTTGAAATCTGTTCCTGTTCTGTCATCAGGAATTTGGTTGAATTTAAGATGCTCATGCCCTCCCTCCCTCAGACATACTCATTTTTGTTTTTTTTATTTTCACAGTGTTTACCTGAAAGATTTCCACTTGTTATTCTTAATTCTTTTCTTTTGTTCAATTTTTTTTCTCCAGCTTCCCCATGCCCTGACTTTTACACAGTTTTGCCACTTTCTAAGTTTTGTAACATTTTCTTTGATTCTCTGCATTGGGCCAACACACGCTCTATACACACACACACGTGCGTACATCATAACTATAAGATATTAAACCATCACCCTTATACTCTTAAATCATCAAGTCAAGCATCTAAGCCAATCATCCATAAGGTTCGTACACTTATTGTTCAACTTTCTTTAAGATGATTTTTAAAAATCCTAAAATGCAATATTACAGATTTAAAATGAGGCATTACAATGGAAGCAGTTGAAATGAGTGCCTGGACACCAACGATGACAGCTCGCAGACACCTAAACTAATGTAGTTTCAAGTATACGATGAATTTATTCTTACCATGATTTCCGTCTGTTCTGAACGATTTTTGAAATCCAATATCGAGTCCTAAGGAAAAGCAAATAGGATCCTAGTTTTAGTTGAAGTTTCTTAAAGCACTTAACATTCAATCATTCCATTTTTGAAAATAAACTATCACCTATTATATTGTAGTAATCAAGTGCTAACATAATAATCCTTGCATTTCATGCAAATGTTATGTCGATGAGACATCTCAAAGCGCTTCACAGAATATACTGTAAAGTGAATTGACTGTATTTTGCAGGCAAAATGCAGCAGCCAATTGTGCACAGCAGTGTCCCACAAACGGTCATTGAGTGACCATATTTTCTTTTAGTCTACCACACGGTTCAGTTCCACATTTGTTTTAACCAACTTGCAACTTGAAATTGCAACTTCTCGAATTTAAGATAAATTGGCCATCCCTGAATATCCACCTTGTGAGGGCTACAAAGCTTTGCTTGTCGGATGTCAAACAACAAACTAGTGACCAGCAAACAACGAACATTTGCTGGCCACTGTTCACCAAGCATCAACTGATTTGCTAGGAGTTGCTTCTGAAAGTCATTTGCACGTGGCTTCACAAAACCAAAAAAATGTACAAGTATACTCTATGGACAGCTCAATTTAAACTGTTTTTCCTAATGTTGGGGACTACATCTGAACCTGCCCACCTCCCTCCCCTCCTCAAATCCAACCAGTAATTCACTTTCACTATATACTTCACAGTAGGTTTATGACAAAGACCTGTAATTTTCAGAACATACATGAACATGTAAACGAACAGTTTGTACAAAGCAGAACCACATAAATACAATTTGCTTAAACAGAACAAAATATGCATTCCTCACAGTTTACCATTTTCTCTTCATCTCAATGACTTACATTTTCATATTGCTGCTGCAACTATTCAGTATTACAGTGCCTCTCTAAAATTGTCCATTTTTTGCCACCATTTTAACAGTTCCTATTTTCCACCTGGAACGAGATTGGTTTTGCCCCAGGATATCTTCTCGTTGCTAACTGCAACATCTAGTGGCGCGCAGCACAATTGCACTCTAGACAGTGTCAGAATTAAGGCAACGACATTCTAACAGGCTGTTGGCACTGGGTCACACTTCACAGGAATCTAATGAAAAATTCTGTTGGAAGAATTGCAGTAATGATGCCAGAATCATTAGTCCTTGAATATCAACGTCATTAGGCATGAACACAAGCACCAGAGACCTATTGCATCAAATCACAAACTGAATCACTCAAAGGAAGCTTGCAGCAAACATTAGAACATCTAATGTAGTTAGAGTTGGTTTGAAGGTTGTAATCTCATTTTGGGTGTTCAGACAACAATTACCAAATGTTTCATTGGTTTAGGAAGTTCCGTGAATCTCTGGATGAATTTGCTTTATTGCAATCACCCCCAGATGCCCATTAGTCTCTATACTAAATACCCAGTTATTTGTGGCGTGTGTTTGGGGACAGTTCTGATTGTTGGAGGTGAGCATTTTAGGTCCTGGTACAGTTAGAGGCCATGTGGCTCGAGCACCTGGAGATGAGTCTCCTCTTTTTAGTCTGGTTATATTAATAGTTTGGATTACTGGATAATTTTCACTGTCAAATTGAGTATTCAATCCACAGGATCTCACAGTATTACAAACACTGAAAGTTATACAGTAAAACAGCAGAGGGCAGCAGACAGACAGAAGCAACCACGGGATCAATTAACAAAATCAGAGCTGCTTTCACAATACTTTACAAACATAACGGAGAGATCTAATCAAATCAGCTATTTCCATAAGTGGAGCACCAGTTCTGAATGGAGATATACGACACACAGAACGCAGGCAGTTAACTATATATGGCCTCACTATCAGACCTGCCAGGAGGGATGAGCTCACCTCGTACTTGGAAATGCTTCAAAATCATCTAAAAATGTCATATTGTGCCGACCGATAAGCACTTAACATTTCCTTCTACTGTATGAATGTATTCATTGCAAGTTGCACTTCCAGTGTCAGGGAAAGCCACGCGTGGAAACATTCAAAGTGTATCGACTTTGCACTCAAATGGGCAAAAATGATTAAAATGAACTCTAATGCTCTAAATATACTAATAAGAAACAAAGGTTGCATTTAGATTCAGAATTTGAATGCGCAGTTAAGCAATACATTTGTCAGTCCCTAACTGCCATCCCGGGAACCTTGGTTAGACGTCAGTAAAGGATAAGATCAGGCAAGACTGACCTCGTTAAACAGCCCACCCAAGGCATGCTCAGGTCCAATAAAGCCACACATGTCCACTGTCAGATCCTGAGACACAATAATAGTAATTAGTAGTATGGGCTACGGGCAAAACGGGCCGAATGGATCGCTCTTTCAGAGTCAATTGTTTCTGTTGAGCCAATTTGCATCATCTATCCAGGAAGGATGGAGGGCAGGAGGGTAGGAGTAGGAGGGTAACCAAAGATGTGGTCAAAGAGTGGGGTCTTGAGATGTGCCTTGAAGGAAGCGAGGGAGGGAGCAAGGCAAAGGGACTCTTCGCTTTTATTGCTAATAAAATAGTAGCTCGATTTTGAAGCAAATCTAGGCCCAACACTTAAAAGCGTGTCAGTGAATTAAATTAAAACCAACCAGTGATTTCATGCATTAGGTATAAACTAGCACAAATTCAATGCAGAAAAAGACCTGTTCCATTGCTGTAAAATAACTCTAAGACTGATAGAGGATGGCAAAAGAGTGGATGACAGTAATGAGATGCAGAACAGAACAGCTGAGTCTGCACTGCGACAAGCACTAATTCAGAAGTGCGTGATAGGAATGAGGCGAGAGAATTTCAAGTGTGAAATTACATTGTTTAAATTCTTAATTTAAGTATTTTAGTATTAGGAAAGAGGCAATAATTAAAAGGCAAAATACTGCAGAGAAATAAAAATAAAAGTTGCTGGGAACACTCAGCAGATCAGCCAGCATCCATGGAGAGAGGAAAGTGGGTTCACGTTTCAGGTCAATGACCTTTTGTCAGAACTGGGGGATATTGGAGTGGATCGGTTTTATGAGAACAAATAGAGAAAGGAGTGCGGAAAGAAACACTGAGGAAAAGGATAAGGTGGAGGACAGGCGTGTAGAACCCTGAGAACCCCGACGACTGATAAGCGTTCATAACCGTGAGGACCAAGGCTAACTGAATCAAGTAGCTTTTATTGAGAATATATAATTTCTTTAAAGCAATCTCAAAGAGTAAGGATAACATTCTCAAAATTCTTTCAAATAAAATTGTTGGGTCAACCAGCTATTTGCCTCATTTGTGGTATGCTCGATTTCAAATAATCTCAACTTCTCTTGCAGAACCTTGCCAAGCAGAGAGAGAGGGAGAGAGAGAGAGAGAGAGAAAGACGGAGATCAGAAACAAAAGTTAATAGCTATTCCAGCACCAGTACAATCAATTAAAGCTGTCTTGCCAGTGTGAACACACAGACACACCAAAAAGACACGCCATCACATCTATCCTGGTATCAGAGCTGGAAATTTGGAATCCTGCCAGGAATCTGGGTACCCAGATATTGAAGTTGAGCTTCTCTCAGTCTTGTTATGATATTTTTAGAAATTCCCTTTTCACCTGAGGACATTGGTGTTTAACAAAGACTATCCTGGAAAGACCGATATATCGCTAGCAATGTTTAATACTAATCACCACCATGAACAGGGCTTCTATTGCTGTTCCTTGGAGATCCGAGTTCTGGACAAATCTAAAATTTCTTCACCTAAACATGGTTAAGGAGGAAACCTGCCATTACCTCCAATACCTTCCTCAACCTTTCAACTCAACTCACTGAACTATTACACAACCTGTGCGTATGATTCGACCCTCAGCTCTCTTTCCTCCCTCATATTCGATCTTGTTTTTCTGCATCTTCACCACATCGCCCGCCTGACATCGCTGATCACAATTATTTTCCTAAAAATCGAGCAATTCTGGAAAAAAGAAAATTGAGGAATTCATATTTTCAGCTTTAATAAGAAACAAATCCTCTAATATTGTTGCTTTAACTTGATTCACTTCACTTCTTTAGGCTGGAAATAACATTTGAGAACCAAAATTTTTATTCGGAGCTCTTGATACATAAAACGTCTGAGGACCTCAGAGTGTCCTTCAAATTTCCCCAGTTAGAATCTGACAGTTTCTGCGACAACAGATCGATATTCTGCCCTTGCATTATCCTGACCTCCAGTCACTGAGAGACAGAAAGCAAGAGATCGATGTTCCCATGAGGAGCCTTCAGCTACTGATGCTGTGTTCAGCGCTGACAGCTGTGGTCAAAGGGTAACAAATGCCCGCTTCAATTCACTCCCCAGAAATTAAATGGGGGGGGGCTGCAAGCAGCCAACCGCAGTACATCATTGACTTTCACAGTCAACTCACAATAGGTGGTTCAATATAAAAAGTAGGTTAGGTAGAAGGTTTACAAAAAGGGCAAAAATAAAACACCTGACAGGTTTCATTAAACCTCTGATCTGAAGTATGAACCCAACAGTGTTAAGTGGAAGGTCAACAATTCCTTCCACCCCCCTTCACAACAGGATATTTACACTGAAGGACAATATCAACAGGAAAAGCAGTCAATTAAATCTCCCGCTTATTCTAGAATTACGGTTTGATTCAGAATAGCGCCCTAGAGGTGTGATCGGTAGGCATACGTTAGGATGTGAAATTGCACGGAAGGCTGTCCACTCAATAAGCTTTCAATCTTCATACAAAGCAAAAATTCTTTAACCAAATTTATATCTTCCTCCTAACCGTCACTGAAAATTATCTACATCACCGTTAAGAAAAATCCTTTTGAAGAAATAAATTAAATGACATCTCTCCCCCTCCCACCCCTTGTCCCCTTTATGCTATGCATCATCCACGCTCGGCACGTGGGAGGACGACTCCAGCAGAAGCACTCGCTTAGCCCAGGGCAACTTCCTCTTTCCCTGTGGTAGCATTTGCCCTCTGAGATCAGCACTGTGTGGGAGCAAGGCCACGTCAATCACTCTCAGCGCAGTGCGAGGGCTCGACTTTATTTAAAATGGAAAATTTCTTTGACACATAAACATTTACGGTCTTTTAAGACGCTTCAGTTATAGAAAAAAAAACAATATTTGCAAATGAAAAAAGATCGGCACTTTCATAGCACCTTATAACTAAATATCCAAAAGTACTTCACAGCAATTATTGAGGTTTTTTGGTAGGCGAGTATAGCAGCCATTTTGTACGCAAGTCCCAAACAGCCATGAAGTAAATGACTAGCATATTATTGGCAAGGACACTGAGAAGCTCCCTTTCCTTTTCAAGGAGTTCCATGGGATTTTTAACTTAGTTTAAGCACGCTGAAGGGATATTACCTCTGATAAAAATCTGGTCAGGACTCACTCAACTGCTATTGATCTTAGGTCCAGACATCAGGGTAGAATCCAAACCTACTGACCCAGAGGTGGGAATCCCACCAAATCAGCCAGGTTGACCCACAACGTACGAGAGAGTTTGCAATTTGAAAGCTCTACAATACATTCAGAATTAACAAAATTCTTGAATGGAGCATTGAGCTGAACTACTCCATCTCAAAGCCTAGCCAGCAGCTAGTCAAACCCAGCCACGGAGAATCACATTTGACAGGCTGAATTTGAACTCTGATCTTTGAGTGGGAGTCTAGTGATTTGGGAGTCCAGTGATATACTACTGAGTTTACCAATTTTCACCCACGTTTTGTAAAGAATGGTATTTTTCAGTTTAACCATCAGGACACCTTTAATCTATTGGTAACTCAGATTATTAAAGCAGTGGGGGGGGGGGGGGGGCGGAGAAAGGAAAGAGAGAAATGGGGGATAACATTATTGCTGCATTCACATGCCATATTTGACATTAATATTAAATATTAACCAAAAGTAGAAGCTTTCTTTGAATAGCTGGTGCAAAGCCAATGTATGCCAGACTCTACTGACCGAGGTTTCAGACACCCCTTAAATTTGATTGAAACAACTGTTACACTGAATTTGAAGTTTGGGAGCTATCTTTTAAATAGAGACATTCAGATTACAGTCGCAGAATAGATTGTTGCAACTTCAAAACACAAAAAATAGATTACAGATTAACAAGCAAGTTATTGTACTACGTTCTGCTGTATAAAGTCCAAAAAGGTAAATGAGGCGTTTCTACAAGCCAATATCGGCTTCAGTCTGGCAATCATGAGCTGGGCATGACAGTAACAGTGTGTGGAGGGGAAAGAGAATTTAATAAAGAGCAACGGTAGATGTTGGACCAGATGTTATCCTAGGAATATGAAAGAAGTTGGAAGGCCTCAGGAGAATTTTCGGAAACCGGTCACCTTTTTAGGAACCTCAGTCTCCAAGCCAGAAATGGAGCAAGCAACCTGTCCACAAGCCATCAATACTGTTCTGAAACTGACTGCTAACAGATGTGGAAAAGAGGCACGAGCCAAGTCATCCTTGGAAACTCTTTCTGCTGAGGGAGCATCTCACCACCACAATATCTGAGCCAACTTTGCAAAATCAAGGACGATGTTCTTTAAATAATAAGGAATAATCCTCGTATTTGATGCAGTGCCTTTCCCGTTGAAGATAAACGGTCTTGATCACTCAATCCACAAAGACCTCATTCCCCGCTTTTGATCAAGGATTATTACCTAGCAGTAAGTAGGAAACCGATTGTTAAGTCAATTGGCGGATCACTTTCCTGGGGTAATAATCTCCCAAAAAACAATAATAATTTCGCCATTCAATCCACAACAGCTTGTGGGACACTGCTGAGCGCAGTTGGCTGTTGCGTTTCGCACACAAAGTATACAGTCAATCCACTTTACAATATATTCTGTGAAGTGCTTTGAAACATCTCAAACAAAAAATAATTTTAAAATAAATAAAAATTTTAAGTTGCAAATATGAATCCTTAGTCTAACATCCAGCAGTTTCATCCCTCAAATAATTCATCGGGGTCCCAAAGATTGAAAAACACATACAATAAAACACAAAATACTGCAGGTGCTGGAAATCTGAAACAAAAACAGAGAGAGCTGGGAAAACTGAGCAGGTCAGGCAGCATCTATGGAGAAAGGAAAGTGAGTCAACATTTCGGGTCCACGACCCTTCGTCAGACTTGACTCACCTTTCCTTTCTCCATGGATGCTGCCTGACCTGCTGAGTATTCCCAGCTCTCTCTGTTTTTGTTATTGAAAAACACATAACAGAATTCAATCAATACCAGCCAGCAGCATAGAAATTATTTACTAGCTTTCACAAATTGCAACACTCTTAAATGAGTACACAGAATCCTATAATACAGAAGTACAAATGGCCTTAAGCACTGACAACAAGTTGTAAAATATGCTAAAGATGCTTAATTTTAGGAACTAATGGACCTTCATTTGAAATTGACGTCACACCTCACTCGTCAAGATCTGGTAGGGAAGGTAGGTAGGGAAGTCCTATTTATTATTGATGAGCTTCCTTCAAAAGCTGATTTAATGAAGCGGTTACTGAAAACAGCATCGGTGAGCAGGTAAAGACCCGACTCTGGAAGAGAAGAGTCTCACCAGATCAGGTTGACCTCCTCTGCAGATTTTATAGGAATCAGCACAGCAACAAAACTCTGAAGCCAATTGCTGAATCATGGCTTTTATCAGCCATAGATTTACATTGTGCAACGCTAGACTTAAAATGTAAACTAATAAATATTGTGTGTTTTACACACTACTCTGACTACAATCCAGTCCTTGCTTTCACCAAAAAATTAATGCTATAAATTTGTTTGTCCTATTAGTTTCCGTAATATGTCACTAATTCATTTGGGCTAGTAATAATAATCCTTGCATTTGATATAGCACCTTATAACGTCTTCAAGACGCCTCCAAGCGCTTCACAGGATATACTATAAAGTGAATTGATTTATAATAAAACTATTTGCAGATTACCGACCTCACTCATCAATCTCCCTGCGTGAAGGACTCTATAATAATGTAGTTGTTTAGCTACAGCAAAAAAGAATAGCAATAAGTGACCAAATGTGAAGTCATGCAAGGAGTCTCTAATCACTCCACAGTAAAATTCTGGATATTGTTTTCCAAATGTTTAACTTGGGCAGTGAAAGAGTCAGTGAAGAACAAAGCAGCAAATCAATCGAGTTAAAATAAATGAAAGCCAAATGTAATTTGTGCTTAATCCGCTCAGATCAAGACATAAAAGGCCATCAAAACACAGACAGAGAACTGGATGAGCCAGGATTTAATAACAGCCTAATACACTCAAACGCCCCCGCTAGAACACAAACAAAAGGCCTGAACAAAAAGCAAGCGACTCCTCCACACTCCTCCATATGGGCCATGCATCAGCGATCGCAATCAGACCAATAACAGTGCTTTATCACACAAGGCCGAGAGCGATCGTGTAGTTCAAATGGCAGGTGAGGCGTGGCGACCCTGGCAAATCACATTTCTATTGCTATTTCTCTGGAGTGTTGTGTAGTGATCAAGCAAGTCACGTTACAATATGTAGGGGAGTAAAATAAAATTGAATTCTCTCTCTCGCTCCCTCCCTGAAAACTCTGATGCTCCTGCCTTAAGGTTTTCAAACCGACCTTGTATTTTTCCAGGAAACAGCAACAAGACTAAGATTTCTGAAGGGAGCTCACCATCTTAGTAAGATCAATGGGGAATCAATGATTACTATCTTGCATTTTCCCTTATTGATATTTTTTATATACTGCTGATGACTTAAGGGAACCATTGAGAGCAGTTACTGAACCAGACAGCATGTGGGAGCTGAAATAGCAATTAGCCTAGGTGTTCCAGCTATCACATTGCGTTGTGTTAATTTATTCATAAAGTTGTAAATCCTTCCAGACAATGACAGAAAAACAAAACTATCTTCCCTCCAGATATGCCTTCTATAGTGATAAAGCATAAACCACATCGACGGTTTTGCTTTCAGTCACCTCTAGAACAAACTGTGGTCAATGTGAACTATAAGATGAGTCAGCAAAGACATCCTTTTTATTAAGGATTATTATTATTGCCATTGGCCAACGTAAGATGAGTGAACAACAAACATTGGCATGCAGGAAACTATCAAACTGACTTTCTGCAAGTGTGTCCAGGAGGATTAACAAAACCTAGAAATCCGAGTTAAAAGTTTGTTCCAATTTTCACATGGCCTGACCTCCAGTTGAATCCATCAGATTCATCAATATTGTACTTAGTATTAAAAAGCAATGGATTGTTAAAGTTTAAAAACTTCCTTTTCTGTATTATTTTCCTCCTCGCACACAAAATACAGTCAATTCACTTTACTCTCTTCCCATTTCCAGGTTTCGGCTGAAGACCTTTCTTTTCGACTACGCCTTTGGTCACCTTCCTCCCCCTCCCCCTGGCTCGGCCTCGGGATCCGTTACTGTGAAACGCTCTGAGACGCCGTCGGATGTGGAGGGCGCTAAATAAATACAAGTTATTATTACAGTATATTCTGTGAAGTGCTTTGAGACTTTGAATACATGATAAGGCGCTATATTAAATGCAAGGATTATTATATTGGCTCCTTATACTGCGCAAAAACAACAAAAAATTACATTTGTATAGCGCCTTTCAAGTCAAGAGAGAGTGCAATGTAGTGACTGTATTTGTAGGCAAATATAGAGTAACTTCAAGCTGAGATGCACAAAGGAGCACAACTCCTGGCTGATTTTCCCCAGCCCTTATTAGCTCAGGGTTCCCAAACCAAACTGCATGCCTCCACTCCCACTGTGGCTGAAGTGAGCAAATGAGATTTCTGGACCGCAAGGTTCAAAGCCACACCGTACCGTTTATTTACCACTGACCCCAAACTAGTTTAATACACAATCGTTTTCCAATTTTAATAATGCCCCACGCACTCTTCTAAAAGGTTGTTGAGAGGGCTCAGATGTGCCTAGTGTAAAATTTGATAAGAATACAAAAAAATCATCCAGGGCTCACTTCATACCATAACCAATTCAAAAGCAATTAGGTATAGGTATATATACACACACATATATATAATATATAAAAATAAAAAATATTTAGGACACATGAAGCATTCATATACTCAAGGCTTACAGAGATCCAGCAATACAAACAGAGCAGCTCTACTCGTTAAACTATACAGGGGAATATGTTGCATCACCCTTCAATATCAAACAGTCTGCCTTTACAGTCCACTGTAGACCCTAGTGCCTCTGGGACTGTTGATATCATCTTTTGTGTCCTGCGCACATTGTACAAGAAGTGCCATTAATATCACTAGTTCTGTGAAGTGATGGCAGCAACAACATGGAATAAGTTCTTATTTTGCGCTCATTTATAATCCAGCCACTAGACACGAACACAGTCATTCTGTACATGGTAAACTTTAATCATGTGGCCGCCTCAGATACAAGGACTACTCGCTACTCGGCCACTCCCCCCACCACAGTATTTTTAGAGTGATCAAAATTCCCCAAAATTCACACAAATAAGACTTCACAAGTAATGATAAAATAGATCAGTCTATTGAGTGCCCTAACAGTGAGTTTCTACTGTACTGAATCCAAACTGCAGGACTGTGTCCCGTAAAGGACACGAGGTGCCTGCACCTTTTCATCCTCCATTTTGTACAATACTGCAGCTTGTACATATTGTAGGGCATACAACATGTGAGGAATGCGATGACATCAACCATGCTTCCTTCCTGGAATTCTATGCCTTATGCACTCCTTCACCCATAATTACAGTTGCTTCAGTGACCTGTATCAACTGCATTTCCTTTGCATTTTGACCAAATGATACTTTGACGGACATTTGGATCTAACAAGTAAACACTTTTGAAATGGGCAGAGCGTATTTTACAGAGATTTCTCCAGCTGGCCTACAGAAGTTTGTCGTTAAATAACTATTAAAAATTAAACGACAAGGCAACATAACCCACACACCTTGCATTCAGGCTCAACATGCCAAACTTAGAGGAGAAGTGCGTCCCAAATATTCAATCATGACTTAAGTTTTCAGGGCGGAAGATATTATAACCATCTGACTCATCTGTTTGATGATTCATGACCTGAGTTTCTTTTCCTCTGCTCTAGAAATTAAATAGTTAACCACCCCTTGCCAGGATATGCAAGAAATAAACTACAGGAATAAACTATGGGAAGAGGGCAGGCAAATAGGACTGAAAGGATTGCTCTTAAATGAGCACAGAAAGCATGGGCCAAATGGCTGTCTTCTGTGCTGTAAATTTCTATTATTCTATGCATAAAGTTAATTGGTAGATGGGAACACTGAAACAGGGGGAGGGAGAAAGAAAAATAATCCTTGCAGAAAGTTAGATACATGCACTTTTCTGTAATGCTGCAAGTGAAGACAAAGCAAAACTTTGAATGTGAAGAAATGGGAAACAGCTTGAGAGATAAATACATAAAAAGCCAAAACCCGCCAGTGGGAATTTCAGTCCGCCAGACAATAGCAACAGTTTCACTCCTTGACTTTACATAACATAACGATGGATGAAGTGCGCTTTGACTTGGGGATGTGTAGAACATTGGTGAAATCCTCGTGATGTGGCCGTTTCTGAATGTTGATTTAGCCTAAGGCAGGGTGTAATTAGAGACATTTGATCTAACTCAGCACAGGAAGTAGTCAGGCCTCAGAACAGGGCTGGAACACTGACAACCTTTGTGCTCAGGCTCTATTCTGGGAGCATCTGGAATCAATTAAATGGAGTGACTCACGAGCACTTGAAACCATAATTCACTCTTTAAATACTAATGAACATTTCATACCTCTGCAGCAACAACCTTCTGGAGGCTCTTTCTTTCACAAAAGAATATTTGTACACAGTGGTTAATTCTAGCGATTAGGCCATCTACGAAAGACCAACTCACAAGATGAACCACGAGACCATCAAAATAAAGCAGCAGTTTATTTTTCTTCTAAATGTCACTAAAAACAGATATGATTATATAAACAGCCAACAGTAGAATAAATGATTGAAAACAGAATTTATCCCATGACCCCCAACGACCTGAGATCACAGCAGTGTCCTAACTTGCCTACAGGCTACCAAAGATATTGCATTTTCAATAAAAAACTGACTCATCCAACGCAGTCTATAAAGATGTCAAATGAAACCCATCTACACCACCAACTATCAATGACTTCTCACATCCTTTGGAAGCAAGCAACTGTTTTTTAGGCATTTCCCAGGAAACAATTTCCCCCTTCCTGTCAATATCTCCCCTATTCTCCTGAAGCTACTGACTTATGCTGGGATTTAGCTCCATGCACATAACTTAAGAGGCTGTTCTTCATATGTGAACCTTGACAAGAGCATTGGCAAGCTATTTGAACACAGGAGGCATCAGAGCTGAATCATAGGTAATAATCAATGCCTACTACTTAATAACTAAAGCAATTGAGCAGTTAACTCCAGTAAAAGGTTGAACAACAGAACTTGGGAATAATTGCCAATCATTTCTTTTTGGTTACCCGCACAGCTTGACCGAGGTGAGAAGGAGAAACATGATGAAGATGGTTTCTGTGATGGACATCCAATAAGTTTCCCTTATTTAATCACTGGCAAAATATGTAATGATTTACAAAATCTCTCAAACTAAAATGCTAGGTTTGCTGCTAGTTCGTATTCTACAATTTGAGCTCTTAGAACATCAAAATTCAAAGATAGTAGTGATTGCTGTCAGATGAGTAAGTAAAATAAATGCTTTCTGAAACTTCACTTTACCCCAGAGGGTGAAATTTAAAGATTAATATAAATACAGTTCTTTGTTCTATGTTTTAGAACTGCTGGAAGCAGAAGTGTTTGCACCCAAAACTCGAGACATTTACTGAAGTTGTTATAACTCATTTCAGATAATTATGGATACATTCATCTAACATATTAGTACACAAACTACAATAATATGATTTTTTTTACAAAGGACCTATCTTCCATTGACACTATACTTTAAAAATAAGTTCTCCTTCTGTAGGCTGCGTTTGAAAGTTTTTTTTAAAAAAAAGCACAGCTGGCGGAGGCACTAAATGGTCAGAGGCCCCAGGGAGAACATATGGCCGCCATCTCACTCTCCAAACAAAGTCAATATGTTTTCATTAGAAATTCTTGGTTTCTTAAAGGACCGTGGTAACATTACTCTTAATCTGTTGCACATGTTTGTGCTGGACTTCATGACACTGCATATATTTGCTAAAAATCAAACCCACAGAGATACTGTAATACAACAAAGTCCTTTTGAGACTTGAACAGGTTTGTAATTCAGATCTTGTAGTCATTTAACAAAACCATTTAGTGAACTGGAAATATTTTAGTATAAATGCCAATTTCTAAAGAATATTTACATGCTCTTGAGCAAATATAAAGTATACTATGTGTATGGAGTCACAACAAAATCTGGTTATGGTATTATTTGGCTTTGGTCTGGTAATACTTATTGGATAAAGGGCGTTATCTCGTCTTCGAGACGTCTCAAAGTGCTTCACAGAATATACTGCAACGTGAATATTTTGTGGGTGATATGGAATAAATTTACATAAAAATGTACAACTGTAATTTCACAAGTCTTAAATAGGATGACAGATAACACCTGAAGATAAGATTAGACATTCAGTCTTGTTCTCTCATCATTAAGCTAACCCCAACATTAGTATAACGGATATGGCTGCAACTTCACTCTTTTTTCAATTGTCTGGTGTCCTTTGTATAATGTAATGGTGGAATAATCCATTGAGTTGTCAAATATAAACAAGAAAACACCTATAATTCCATTGTTAAATATGATTCAAGAAGTTGTAGAGAAACATGAGGTATAAATTTGGAAGACTGGGTGGATCCTTCCAGCACAATAACATATTGATAGACTGTTCACAGGACACCATCGTGAAGCATGATTTGCCTTCTCAATATCTACATTGCAGATGTAGTTCTGAAAGTACTTCTGTAGATGTGGTCGCTGGCATGTGATAGAATACACACCAATGTATACATTCAGCTGCAAGATGCTCCAGAATAGCACACAAAAAACTGTGCCAACATGCGGCTTCTTCACTGATGGAAAAGGCAATTAATTGAGCTCTCTCCAATCATCTGGAGACCATTACAAGCTGAGAATCTTTCATAGAGCACTGTTGCCACGTGGAGCAGAATTCTCCCAACTGCGTCTATGCATAGGGTTTTATTATGTTACTTCAGAATTGTGCAACATTCACATTCTACAGGATATTCCCTCCAATGGTTTCACTACCCGGGAGGTAGAAAGGCTTTTACATCATTTATTTGGCACTGCTAATCTATTCAGCTCAATTTAGAGATGTACCACCACATGGCCAGTGTCAAAGTA